GATGAAGTTGAAGAACATAATCCTCAGGATATAGCATATGTATATTCTGGATATGCTCCTTTAAGTGTACGTTTGATACAATGCGCGACGACCAAGAGTGGATCACCCTCAACTGGCAATGGGTGGAAAGGATATGAAGATGTGTTGAGAATGTTGCCAGGTAAAACTTTCGATGAAGTACAGAAGCCAGAGGAAGGAGCAATACGTTCCAAAAGTAAGTACACACCATATTTTGATTTATAAATATACCGTAGTCTAACTTTTATCGGATTAGGAATGGTACAAGGACAGAATCCACGCGTCACGCTTGTATTCTTCTTGGGTGGATGTACATATACGGAAATCTCAGCAATACGCTTTTTAGCACAACAAGATGATGGTATAATTTTTATTTTTATTCTATCTCATTATTCAGAGCGAGGCGTAGTACCCGCATTTTGCTCCGTACAATTTCTATTTTTCTAGTTTATTACAAACTGCTAATGATGCATTTATTAAAATCATTTTAGGTCAGCGAGAATATGTTATCGCTACCACGCAAATTATCAATGGAAATTCTTTATTGAATTCAATAATGTCTTAAAAAATAAAGCCGCTAACTTATAGTGAATAGGTTTGGTTACAAATTAACGGCTTCTTTTTTATTGTATTTTAGATAAAAAGTTAGACTTTTGGAATTTGGTTTTAAGTGTTGTGCACTGTAGCTATTAGAGATGTGCCCACGCGCGAGATGCTGGCATCATTCTCGCGCGAATTAATCATATTATTTATCTCGCGCGAAATAAATTTTAATAAAGAAATTTTTAGTGATATGGATTTTTTTTTTTTTGATAAAAACAAAAAAAATAAAATAAAGCTATCACTAAACCTATAATCTGCTAAACTCAACTTCGGCATGTTATCTCACATTTCGCGAGGGTCATATGATATGCGAAATATATGCTAGGTTTTATCGCACGAGAGGCACATCTATAGTATCTACATGAATATTCGTTATATAAAATATATATGTACTAACACAATTAGATGCGATGCAGAAATTTATTGTATAATGATAAATTTGTTAAATTCATCGTAAATAAATGTTATTTATTCTGAACCTTCAGTGTGCTAAAATCAGAGTTCGTTATATAGGTTTCGATATAAAATGTTTTTACCCTATCGCTATCATAGTAAATATGTCACGTGTCGTACAGGCGAACACGTTAATAAAAGTGTGCTTGGAATATAAATTGTCAGATATGCTATAGACAATATTTTTTTCACTAATTACCGATTTTACGACGAATTTCACCAGTCGCACCCATAGAATGGTCCACTTTTTGCGTTACTGTCGCAAATTGTGGTTCTAGTTCTTCATCCGGTTAAAGTGTCGCGAAACCTTCTGGATACATACAATTAAATTAGCAACTGTTTAGTTACAATCACAGATCATAATGAAATCTACCATATTCTCTGATTATCAAGACCTACCTCACATTGCACTATCTGATATCAAATAACTGTTTTAAAATCTTTAGAAGGTTCTCAAAGAATAACCGTAACTTTGGGGTTTCTCTTGGAATCTTAAGTTCTCGTATAATACGTACTCCAGTTTGGTTTCCATTTTAGGAGGACGTCTAAAGCGGGGGCAACTCACGTTTCTTAATAATTTTCTCAGGATTAGGGTCATCTTATGTTAGGGTTGGGTTAGGTTTTAGGCTCTTATATATAAGCAAAATTGCCTTCCCGACATTTTTACTTAACCCACCCGAGGTAGGTTTAGACTGCCGTTTTTTGTATTTTTTAGGTTTTTCGTTTTTGTTTCTTGTTTTGCTTCGCCGACGATCATCAAAATTCTATAATTTGATTGGCCGTTTTACGTATTTTATAATTACTCGGTGTTCGAAATTTAAGACTCAAATACTGTCCTCATGAGGACAATATACATAATAACTTTAGGTGTTTTCAAAATATTATGTTCACAAAAAAAATAAAAATAAAAATAAGAATAATCTATTAGAAAATACATATAGATGAAACCAAATTCATAAGTGTTCTTATGAAAACCCTGAGAACACTAATTTCGGAC